TCACCATGACGTCACCGAGTCCGCAACGAAGCCACGCTCAGCTGGCTGCAGTCCAGAATCCCGGAAGTTGGTGGCTTCTTCGCTTTTTGGCCTCGGCAACGGCTTTCTGACAGCAGGCGCGCTGCTTGGAGCAATCCCTCGGAGGTGTGGCGCACAGCTTGGCGCCACCCGAGCCCGCGCCTTTTTCGGCGGAGCCTCCGAATCCTCGGAAGACCCCGAATCCATCAGAGATTCAGCGACCCAGGGCTTCTCTCTGCCTTCATCTTTAGGATCCTCCTGAGAAGTGGTGGTCTCCGGTTTCTGATACTCATAGCCTTTGCTGCGCTTTTCTTGCCGGCGGCGGCGTTCCGCGCGACGCTCCGCGCGACGCTGCTTCTTGGACTCCGCTGGCTTTAGAGAGGCAATTTGCCTCTGAATGGACTCAGCCATATTGCGATATGTCTCTTTCTTTCCAGTATCAAGCATGTTTGGATCGGATAAGCGCTGCAAGATCAATTGCAGCTTCTCGGTCATCTCGGCCAGGAGCTCCAGTCTCATCTCCTTCGCTTCCTCCTTACTTGGCCCATGATTCTCCTGGGTTCTTGTTAAACCCTCAAAGGAACCCTTATAGATCCCTTAAAGGAACCCTTATAGATCCCTCAAAGGAACGATCTCTTAAAGGAACCCTTATAGATCCCTCAAAGGAACCCTTATAGATCCCTTAAAGGAACCCTTATCCTAACTCCTGCTATGGCACCTTATACTAAACTTCTTCACAAGCGAGGCCAGTCTCCTTCCGATCCTCCTTTTTCATATTATCCAAACACATGTTCTTCGCTCGCGGCCAGCCTCGAGCTGCCATCTCGGGGGTTAGGGCTTAAGGGCTTAAAAGCTTAAGGGGTTTAGGGGTTTAAGGTTTAGGGCAAGTTTAGGGACAGTTCTGTCATGTCAAGCAGGCGTCCTGAATGTGTAACATGATGGACGACTATTGATATCAACACTGTGCAAGGCTCGGCTTAGCCCTGATTTTGTTGTCATGCCGCAGTCATTTATCATTACCTTGACCTTGGATTGCGGCTCTTTGTTTGGACAGCCCCCGTGTATGGCTATCATAAGAGTCGAACGGGATACCCAGAAAAGACTACAATCTCGGGTCTATATAGCTTCTTGGAAACAGTTGAGCCAGAGATGTGCTGCGTGCGGTGGGTGATCGTGGTGCACCAGGTGTAAGTCCAGGTAGTCGCCATGGGTGTTTAGGGTTCAGGGTTTAGTGTTCCTGTAAGGCTGTAAGGGTTGAAGTTTAAGGTTTTGGGCTTAAAGTTTAGATGGGCTACTTCGACCCGGCATCGTGCCACTGACTACATGACAAACATCTTGAAGATTCTAGCAATTCAGCTCAGCTCCCTAAACCCCATAGACCCCAATCCTCTAAACCCTAAACTCCTAAGCCCTAAAGACCTTGCAAGCTAGGTGCTTCGAAGCCCAAGCAGGAGGGCTTGAGGCATGGAGAAACCAGGGCTCTTTCTGGGGATGCCACAGGTTTACCTTCTCTTTGGGTTTTAAAGGGCTTTTGGGGGGTAAGGTTTAGAGCTTAAAGGGTTTAGGGTTTGCGGGTTTTAGGGTTTTGAGGGTGTTGGGCTTGTAGGGCTTAGGGATTAAAAGGGTTTGGAGTTTCACATTTTGGCTTATAGCGCTCAGGGGTTAACGTTTAGGGTTTATAGGGCTTAGAGCTTCAGAGTGTTGAGTTTTTGGGGGTTTATAGGTTTCAGTTGTTCAGGTATAACCTGTGTTCAGCGTTTAGCGTTTAGGGTTTAAAGCTTAAGGCTTAGGGTGTATACGGGGCTCAGGGTTTAAGGCGGCAGGTGCGAAGCCCAGAAAACCCTACAGTAACGGTTTCCGGTTCAAGAGCTGAGGGCGGGCAATTTCATCGGAAGCAAGCCAGGGAAAGCTCCGCCGACTCCGCCCGAGGGGTGGGGGGCGAGGGTGGGGGTGGCAGAGTGCTTGTGCTTCTTTTTCTCCTTCATCTTCGATCTGCCGAAGCTGCGAACCCGAACACGTCGAGCTGCTAGGCGACTGCTGGCAGCACGTTTTGCGCTATTGCATGCAGGAGGGAAGGAGGGGAGATAGGGGCGAAGAGTCGGACTGTCTGAGACACCTTGGGCAGACCTCTGGAAACCAGTAATGAGGTAGACTCGGGCAGGCATTCCAGATCCTACAGCCAACTGTCAACAAAATGCACACAACTATACTATCGAGGGGCTTGAATAGTTCTCGAATGAGCCTCGAAGGGTATACATGGACATCCTAAGATATCGCCGCAGCCGGACAAAGGCCCGGCGAATCTTCCAGTCATGACCCTTCCTTTCGCAGCCCCGTTACGGGTGTAGAGGGTCACGGTTAGGGTTTGGGCTTTAGCGTTTAGGGTTCAGGGCTGCTTAATCCCAATATAAAACCATTTTGGGCTACCTTGTCTTTACAAATTAGTTTCCTATTCAGAAATCGGGGTCCCCAAGAGGAACTGCAATGAACAAACAGAGGGAAGCTGCAGAGGACCCATAACCCAATGAGCTGCTACAGCCGTATGTGGGCTTCAAGGCCCTCACAGATGATCTGGCCCAAAACTCACACAACAGCAGACACCTGCGAGACCTTGATGCATGAACACCTCACTAATTCCCTGAACATGTTCAGGGCTTTCGGCTCTTGCATGGCATTTAGCTTAGTCGCTGAGTTCATAAGCCACCCAAAATGTAGACTTTTCGCTTTATAGTGAGTAATATTATCCCAAAAAGTGTAAAGTGCACCCACTCAGCTACTAGGCTACATAAGGTTTTGCAGGCCTTGGGAATCCAGATTCTTGACCTTGAGGCTTCGGCTAGAAAGTGAGGTTTGCAGGCCTTGCGTTTAGGGTTTAGGGTTTAGGGTTCGAAGATCCTAAACCTTGAACCCTAAACTGTAACCTGTAAACCCTAAGCCTAAACTCCGAACCCTTGCCAACGTTTTCCTTCCTTCCAAGCTGTACAAAGAGAATATCATGGCGTACCCGCTCACAGAACTCGGCTCCTTGAGGTTTGCGCAGCAGGTTTGGGGCTTGTAGGGTGTAGGTTTACAGGGTTCGGGGCTTATAGGGTTTCAGGGTTGAGGATTTGGGGCTGGAAGGGTTTATAGGGTTTACATGGTTTTATAATTAGCGTTGAGGGGCCCCAAGAGAACCTAAAGTTAAGGGTTCTTCAGAACATGTCCTTCAATATATCTTTGAGAAGGTCAATTTGGGTCGATGCGGGTAGACATTTAGGAATCGATGTCGCGAACCCATACCCTGAAATGAAGTTTTGCAGTTTGCTTGGGCTGGCGTTTTATGACGTTGTGCTACGACTGGGACCGAATGTTTCATCGGACCTCATCATAGAACCCCTTGTAGCCCTGTAGGAACCCTATTGTACTACCTCAAAGGAACCTTTAAACGAGATCGGGACGAAAAGATTCCAAGTTTCACTTTGACAATGATGGCTGGCATAGAGTAACCACGGGAGAATAGATAGGTGCAAGCTGTTTTCTTCAACTCCCTTCGAGCCTGAAGGACCAAATGACCCTTAAAAGTAGGGTCCCGATACCCATATACTATGTATCCCCAAATGGTATATGAACCTTAAACCCTTTTAGGGTTCATTTCGTCCTTATAAGGAGAGAGCTTGTGGCACCTTTGCGCTCAAGGCCCAGATCCCAAACTCGGCCTCCAAAGAGCCCTACCACGCCTTCCCAAACTCACAGGTTTATATAAATAGACATACCAGTAGTATTAGTATTATGGTATTTATTGGTAGTATTAACTATTAGTATAGTATTAGCATTAATAGTCTTTGTATTAGTAAGTATATTAGTAAGTATTAAAGGTATTCTTAGTATTAGTAATTAGACAAGGGTTCGGAGGGGGGTTCGGCGAACGCCGGCAAGGTTCGACGAAGATCGGCGCAGGTCGTCTCTTGCCCGGCCAGAGTTTTCCCCCTCTCAGTGTTGCCCTGAAATTTTAAATAGATATCAAATTACCGGTATGTGAGTGTACATGTATGCCTTTGTTTATGAGATGCACAATATGTACACACACAGACCTAAAACTATACTGAACTTAGAACCCTAGCAAAAATTATCATTTCAGCTGTTTCTTAGGGATTATAATAACCAAAATTTTAAAGTTATTTCTAATTACCCTAATTACCCCTAAGAAAACCCGATATAACGATGTGCTCGTGCTTCGACCTGAGGTTCTGGCTGCTTGGCAGAGCCAATGCGCTGAGAGCGGACTCCTCCATGCTGGTGACATCCCAGAGACACCATTATCCCTTAATTAAGGAATATCCCTTAATGAAGGAATATTGCTTAAATTATAGTAGGATCCCTAGTATGATTTAAGGAATATATTCCTTAAATCATACTAGGGATCCTACTATAATTTAAGGAATATTCCTTCATTAAAAAAAATTTGGAGTCTCTGGGGATTGACGGTTCTCCGTTTAGGGTTGGATGTGTGCGTTTGGTGCATCCCCCTGTACGGTTTAGGGCCAAGGCTAAGGGTGTAAGGACAGTATCCCTAAGGGTCCATGTACCCATATAGAGATACATGGGCCCCAATGTACCTATATAGGGACTACATTAAGGCCAATGTATATACTATATGAGTACATGGACCCTTAGGGTATACGACTGGTGAACACGTTACGTACGCATTCAAATAATCAGATAAATATAGTTGCGGTTCGATGTTTGAGTTGAGACCACCCAGGGGCTCCTATAGGATCCGATAAGGTAACCCCCAACAGGACCTGCTATGCAGCCTGTTCACACCTGGGCCCGAACCTAAAACCTAACTCCTAGAAGCTGACGCTACAAACCGAATCGCGAGTGGCATATTCGTGAAGCAATCGGCAGATCTCTACGGCATGGATCCTAAACCCTAGACCCTAAACCCAAAGCCCTAAAACCAAGACTCTAAACCCTTTTTCAAACCCAAGACCCTTAACCCAAAGCCCGAAAACCAAAACTCTAAACCGAAACCCTGAAACCCTAAACCAACCAGGCCGTCCTACAGGTTCTCAATGACCTCGGCTGCTGCGGAATCCGGCTCCGAGGCTCGTTTCAAGCTCAGCCGCCACACTTAATGTAGCTCAAGATAATATAGAAGCCTTAATAATTAGAATAGGGTTTTGGGGCCCGTTATACCATAACTATATTGAGGAACCCCCCCCAAAATAGTGTACGTAATTATTATAAGGCCCCTATATTAGCTAGCATTCTGTCTCCTCACCCCAAGATAAAAGCCCACCCCTGACCTACGTCATAAATCCTCGAACCGCAAACTGCACAACCTTTGCATCGAGCTTGCTTCGCCGAAAAAAGAGCTCCAGCTCAATCCGAATGACGGAACCCTCATCAAACGTATTCAAGTTTTCTGATCTCCAAGCCGGCACCGAAGGGCCTGGCATCCCTAAAATATTTAGTTTTACTAATATTTTTATGCTCGGCAATCCGCTTCCTTTTAACTTCCTGCATGCAAAGTCAGCAGCCCGTAGACTCCAGAATCCTCAATTCCCAGCCATTTTGGGGGTGTAAGGGTTAGGGACCCTAAATTCGAAACCCTTATTTTAAGGCATTAGCCACTTTTAGGGTTTATAGGAGTTAGGGACTCTAGTTTTAAATTCTAAACCCTGTATTTTAAAGTGAGGGCATTTACAACTGAGTGCCTGGCCTGCAACACAGCCAACTCGATCCTTGCACTGGCATTCGCTTCTTGGCTTAGGGTTTAGGGTCAAGATTAAG